GAAACACTTTTCTTAGTAGAGCCAACGGTAGAGCACTATTTCAGGTCATACGGAGTTGGAAGGAATAAGGGCTCAAGTTTGAAACAATCTCAAAAAAATTTCAGCAACCACTGTCAATAAATATGTTCAATGATTTGCAGAATCGTTATGAAGTTTTTTGCGTCGCTATGATGTATACATTTTGAACATGCGCATTATACAAATTAATAAATGATATAATTTTTATATTCAGTACTGTTTATTTTGGCGAATACTGTATCTTCAATGATTTGCAGAAGCCTTTTGAAGTTTGTTTGCGTCGTTATGCACATTTTGAACATATGCATTGTAAAAATTAATAAATACATATTTCAAAAAATGATTTTTTCATGGGTACGCTTATGGGAGCCTTTGCTTCTAATAAAATACCTCTACGTATTTCTAAGGAATACGTAGAGATTCTTAACACATGTTTGTGCCACCTTGCTCCAATGCTTTTAGATAGGGCCTTACCTATCTTGTCACGTTAGTAGATATTAAATCTATGGATCAAATACTAAGAGGAGGTAACCTGTGGTAAGAATGGTAAGCCACCACAGTTTTCAAATACTGTAATCTGGAAATCTGACTAGATCTGAATTTTTTCATTGTATTTTCTAAAAAAGCTAATTTCGATCCTATCCTTTATATTTGTGGGTTATTTAAACTTTGAATCATGACATAAGTATTTGTTTGAAATTTGAAATTGCTTCGTCTTTTCCATAAAAATGTAAATTGACAGGTTTCCGGCATTAAATTTAATATTAAATGATTCGTTTGCCGTACGGTACGAGTGTGTTGTTTGAAGTGGTGGAAACTCTCGTTGTTCCATGTTGAGGAAATTAGGCGCTGACCAGGTTTACCGACACTTCCGAAAGTAGATCTACTAAATGAGACTATGAAATCTACTATAAATCTACTAGACGAGAATTAGGTACTTTTTTATTTCTACCAAAAAATCTACTAGGCATTGCTAATTTGGTAATTCCCCTTAAGGCCGCGTTAATGGCCGCCATGTTTAAACTGTGATTGGTTAATTTTTCGAAAATTGATTTAAGGTCTTTAAAAAAACGGCACATCAGAATTGGCTCAAATTTGGCATGAACATTATTTGATCGATATTCAGCCTTTTTTTTTAAATTCAAAAATCATGTTCGCAACCACCAAAACAACTAAATGTGTTGGTGGTTGCATATTTGCATATTTGTCAAGCTTGGATCCGTCAAAAGCATATTTTATTGATAACCACGAAAAACTATAAGAAGCTAATTGTAGAGATTGTAGATAATATATCAAATAATGTTTATGCCAAACGATTTTGGAAATTATTGCGGATTTTTTTAGAGGACCTTAAAACGAATTTTGAAGGTGAAAACAGTTCAAGCAATTTCAAGCAGATAGCGCCACGGCATTGGGAGTATCATAATTGTATATTTGTCTTTGTCTGTCACTTAGGGCCGAATTTATAGTCGCTCCTTGAGGTTTCCTTGGACCTTAAGGAAGCCTTGAACGTTTAGAATTGACATGACTAACTTGTCAAATAGTACCAAGTGTCCATTCTGAACTCACGACCTTTAAGGCAGACTCAAGGAATGACTATAAATTCGGCCCTAAGTGTTTCACCGACAAACACATTTTGTTTTGGACAAATAATGAAATATTGAACCCTATGTGTAGAGTGACGCAGTCGTCATTTTCAAAAACTAAATTTAAACATGGCGGCCACGCGGCCTTAATAAAAAGGAATATGGAAGCTGATCTGTTATTACTTCAAAATAAAACACGTTGTCTTATTATATAGTAAGGGGCAGGCTACTAGGTATATAGGATCCAACTTGACGAATTTACCACCGTCCGCAGCAGTTTGAACCCCTGTCACTGTCGTTCGTTCAACAACTTTGACGTTTGTTTACTTCAGTACGATAGACTTAAGCACGGTCCAGACGCTACGGTTCAGCTTACTGATCAAAACGTTTTGTCTGCAACGTGTTTAACTGTATGCAGACAAAACGTTGTGCAAAACGTAGCGTCTGCGCCATGCTTTCAGATATTTCGTCAAGCTTTATTTATTTATAATTAAGTTTACGCGTGTAGATAGCTAAGCGTTGGTTATCAATGTAGACACTAGACACTTTAAGCAAACCCTAAATTTTCCTACGTATCCGTATCCGCTTCTGTAAACGCATCGACTTACGTTGACCGCCTAAAAGTCCTTTCATGGTCATACATTACGTAAACGATCGTATCGTTGGATGACACGTTTTCGAACTACAAAAAGTTTTGTTTTGATTTTGTAGCTGTGTTTGTAGGTTTTATTTTTATCTATAAGTACTGTGTTTATGTTGTTGAAGTTATTTTAGTAATAACTGACAGGTAGATCCCTCAATAGTGTCAAATGATTGAGATACGTTTTCGGATACAGATACGAGTCCGTAACGATACGGACAACGCAACGCAACGAGACCACCGCATTTACTATCTATCCTGCGTTAGAAATTCAGGACCTGCTTAAAGTGTCTACTTGCTTATCCTGAATTTTTATATGTATCCGTCTCCGCATCGATCTGCGCACGCGCAGAATAGATACGGTGGTTTCGTAGTCCGCATAGTTACGGGCCTAGTCTCGTATCCGAAAACGTATCTCAGCCATTGTGTCTTTAGCCTTAGTTTTTTGAGTGACAGGTCTTTTCATGTTTTGCTTTTACTTGGTTGTCATGAGTTAAGGGTCATTCACATCCACTTAACTTAACTAAAGGTACGGAAAATTATAACTAACGTACGAAACTGAGAAGGTCTCTGTTAACAATGAAGTAATAGTTATTTATGTATCAAGGGAATTATGCAGGTGTTAATACCCCAGGGCAACGTTTGTGTCCCGAGGGCCTCCGGCCCGAGGGACACCAATTGCCCGTGGGTATTAACTCCTGATAATTCCCGTGGTACATAGATAATTTTATATCCTACTGAATTTACTGTATTCTGTCTATTTTTATAAAGGAATAAGCCATAAATCAAAATTTCTATTTTTTGTCAAAGTGTTACCTATTCAAGGTAAAAGCGGGAGTTATGGAAATCCTTAACTCCCTTGGGAGTTATGATATTCTTAACTCCCTTCCTCAACTCCCTTGGGAGTTATGAAAATCCTTAACTCCCTTGGGAGTTAAGACCCTGTTTATGATTATCGTAACCAAGGTATTATATGGTTTTAATAGTTCAGTAGGATATAAATTATCTTACATGACGTATGCGCACTTATAACCTGAACTGTCAAGTCAAATTATATGCACAGAAATGGAAATTATTATTTATTGCACGGATTTTCTTAAGTTGGTTCAACTTTTCCGTGTGTCACGTTAATTTTCTTAATTTTTAAGTTGATGTAACAACTATGTGATCTTCAACTTTTTTTTATTATTAATTTTCCGTACGTCAAGTTAAGTTAAGTGGATGTAAATGACCCTTTAGCACTAAATATATTCGTCATTTTGCCACATGCGGACGCCTGCAAATTCGTCAAGTTATATCCTATATACCTAGTAGCCTGCCCCTCACTGTATATTTTCTGCACTATCCTAACAGTCTGAACTATGAGTTCTAATTATTGTAGTTTGTATAATGACTTTATTAACCAACAAAAAACTACAAACCAGAATCACTTGACCCTCATTACAGAGGATATGACAGCATGTCAGTCGGTCATGAGAGTCATTAGCATTATGGCCGCCATAACGGATTTTTCGATTTATGAAAAAAGCATAGACTTTTCAGTTAAGTGATGTCTCCTGACCTTTAGTATCGGAACCGAGATCCCTGTATAGAGAAGAGAATCTTGGACACACTGTACAAGCTGATAAATAGCAGCTCCTAGCAGATCTTCCTGATATTTCGAGCAGATAGAGCAAGTACAAATGAACAGCCTATTTGTTTGTCCCCCCAACGAAAGTGAGGTTATGTGTGTGACGTCAGCTAGTTCCGTGCTAGTGCCTAATTGGACATCTTTATTGAATGTATTTCCAGCAAATAATTGGCCTATTTAGCTAACAAATGTTGACCGTTTGGCTTGTACGACATCAAGGCATAGGGAGATTACTGCGAATTAGGTAGGAGCGACCTAATCATTATGCAGCTTTATTCTGTTTTCCGTCGAAATTTCCTACAAGATTTAAAGAGGGTGGGACCCAAAAATGAAAGTTTTAATAATATAAATATTTAAACCGCATCTTTCTACGATTCTCCGTTTTCGAGTTAATGCGGTTTTAAAGTTACAACTAGGGGTTTGTGACGTCAACTGAACTATCAGGCACTGTACTAACACGTCTAAAATTTTCAAAAACAAAAGACAATTATCTCACTATATGGAGTGAATTGCAACCACTCAAAGTATAGGGTAAAGACTGCGATTTCAGCAGTTGTGACATCACAAGTTCCTGCATAATTTATCTTCACAAGGAATTTTCTCGGAGACTATTTTGAATATAGGACTGCGGTTTTCACGAGAGATCTTCGATTTTTTCTCTTGATTTAAGTAGCTCAAGTCGTTTTTAAGGGTCACGCCTCCTTTAATGACGTTGTCTTATTTTTGAGGACTGAAAGGTACGCTACCGTCGAAATTTCACCCACAGGTTATTATATTATTTAGTGTTATTAGAAATCTACACACTCAGATGCGGTTCTAAACAGGGCTGCCATAAATTATTTTTCGCATTGCTTTCTCCAGTAGCCAGTAATAAGGGCCCGAACAATACAGTAAAAGAGGCAGTTGATTCATTGAATATTACGATATTTCCTATACATAAAGGTGGATAGACCATACACGTGGAGTTACTCAACGTACTCTAAAGGCTTACAACAATTAATTCTGAATTTGTTCAGTTCTGCTTCAGGGTGAAGTCGAGAGAAAGTGATATTGAAGAATTTAATTAATTCTGATCCAATTTATACTAATTCCAAGCTTTGAAAGTAAAAATGTTCATACAAGTTACCTGGTCTCCACTCTGCTTAATCTCTGCTTCAATTTAGCCTGGCTAGCAGTGAACTCAGCTAAAAGTCTGGCTAAACGGCTCTGAATATTTTCCACATTATTCTCCAACTTCTTTATGCTATCCTCCATAGAGTTTTGAGTTTCTTTAGCCCTCTTAAACACGTCTTCGTCTAGTAAACCATCTTTACGTAGCAATTGACACCCCCGTTCTATCAGCGTTGCTCTTGCCTAGAAAAAAAAATAAAATCAGTACATATCTAATAAAAGCTACAATTTTCATAGATCGTTTAACTACTGTAAACTGCATTTTTTTTTCAAAGCTGAGCTTAATGGCTGAAAAGCCCAAAGCAACCGCAAAACTGTCACAAAAATAGCAACCGTAAAATTTGCATTCTTTTCGGATCGCTAAACAATCCAAAAAACGTGCTTCAGTTTATAATGGCCTCTCTAGGCGCATCTAAAACTAGGAGAATATGGGTCAGACAAAAGGCATAAAATTTACTTGATTAATGTAGCCAGCATTTATCTACTTGTACATTTTTGTAAATACATGTTAGGGTTACTTAACAAATAATTTAACTAAAATTAATTAACCTCTTAACCGGTTAAGCTTTGTTTATAAATCGATCTGTGAATAACTTTGAAATCTAGTGCTTAATATACTTAGTATCATTTAAATACATTGAAATTTATAGATGCGAAGATAGGGTATAATAGTTCTAGCACGTTGGGTTGTGATATCTAGGACCTTCCTTTTACCTCCAAAATCTCACAGCTTTGGACGGTATGACTCGCTAAGTGTACTATGACCCTTACACTACGAGTCGCTGATACCTTTGTTGGGTGTTTTCCGAATTTTGAATGCGAATCAGAACAAAATTCTGAAGAATCCGAAGAAGGCTTTGAAAACGAAAAGGACAGGACAGACTTTGATAATCAGACTTTGGAAATGAAATATCATCCAACTCCATACAATTATGCTATTTTAACACAAATCTACCCGATGGCATAGAAATCTTGATCCCATTAGTGAACAAAGATGCTTATGGTATACCAGCAATATTAGCAAAAGTTCGAAATAAAACAATACTCTTAGAGATTCATTATCTAACAGACACATCCTTTCATCTTAATTATCATATAGATGAACTCGAAGAAATAAGCACTATTTACGAAGACAATAACTTCAATGTATTTAATGTAGAGCAAATTACTTTACCACCACCTTGCGACTATGAGGATGACCCATTATGATATTTACGTACTGAACATTTGAATGAGGGAGAATATAAAGCTTTGCAACATTTAATAAAGGTTTTCCCTAAAATATTCTTAAAACCTAATGATTAATTAACTTTCACAAATCAAGTTAAACATCAAAAATAAACTCATAATGAGATTCCGATACATACAAAAACATATCGCTGCCCTTTCATTCATAAAACAGAAGTGAATAAACAACTTTCCAAAATGTTGGAGGATAACATTGTTCAACCTTCATGCAGTCCCTGATGGTCATCACCAGTATGGATTGTTCCGAAAAAGAAAGATGCCTCTGGTACCCAAAAATGGAAAATGGTAGTTGATCACCGGAAAATAAATGAGAAGACAATTGACGATAGATATCCGTTACCAAACATAACCGATATACTTGACAGTTTAGAGAGAAGTAAATATTTTACAACACTCGATTTACCTTCTGGATTTCATCAAATTGAAATGCACTCTGATTCAATGCCAAAAACAGCTTTCAACGTAGAAAACGGCCATTACGAGTTTAAAAGAATGCCATTTGGATTAAAAAATGCCCCGGTCACGTTCCAAAGAGTTATGGATAACATACTAGCAGGACTACAGAATAAAATATGCTTGGTGTATATGGACGATTTAATTATATTTTCCACATCAATACAAGAACATATAAAGAATTTGAAAAGAGTATTCGAAAGATTAGAAAAATATAACCTAAACATTCAGCTCGATAAATTAGAGTTTCTGCATAAAACTGTAAAATTCTTAGGTCATTTAATTACCGCAAATGCAACGAAACCGAACCCGAAAAAAGTTATGGCCATTAAAAATTTTCCAATTCCAAAAATTAACAAAGAAATAAAATCATTTCTAGGACTAGTTGGATATTATAGGAAAATAAAAAACTTTGTCAAATTAACAAAGCCATTAACATCATGTTTAAAGAAAGATAAGAAAATCATACATGATGTCAAATTTGTGAAAAGCTTTGAAATATGCATCCGGATTTTAATAAACCATTTTTATTAACAACCGATGCTTCAAATTATGCAGTGTTATCACAAGGACCTATTGGTAGTGATCTTCCCATCGCATACGCGAGCAGAACATTAAATCCAGAAGAATGTAACTAACTATTCAACTATAGAAAAAGAACTATTAGCGATAGTCTGGGCAACCAAATATTTTAGACCTTACATTTTTGGAAGAAAATTCATAATTCTATCTGATCACAAACCATTACAATGGTTATTTGATAATAAGGATCCTAGTTTAAAACTGATACGATGGAGAAGAATTTGACTATGAAATAAAATACAAAAAAGGAACCTTAAATATGAACGCAGACACTCTATCAGGACCTCCAATGCAAATCAATGCTATTCATTCGTCAAATCCCGATGCGAAATTAACGAATTCAGATGACTAATTTCACAAACAATTGGAAGAAATGTTGAAGGATACACCCTTGAAATAATGATGAAATAATAAGAAAATATTTCCAAAACACCGAACTTTACATGCCAAAAGCAGAAAAGAAATCAATACAAAAGACACCAGAACCTAAACCAAAATCGAAAATCAATATAATTTCACAAATGATAATACCAGCAAAAGTGAAGAAAGTTATTCCAATAGAAAAAGGAGAATCATCAAAGATTCAAAAAGAAGAATCACCAAAGATTCGAAAAATAGTGAATACTACAAAAACAGAAATAAAAAAGAAAGTTATTCCAATAGAAAAAGGAGAATCATCGAAAATTCGAAAAGAAGAATTACCAAAGATTCAAAAAGAGAATTCTGACAATGAACAAATAATTACTGCACCTTCAGATTCAGAAGATGAACGAACAGTTTCAGCACCTTCAGAAGCAGAACAAACTATACACACATAGCAAGAAAACATTGTGTTAGGAGCACCCTACACAAAGAAACATGTCAATTTATTTAATAACCAAATAATCTTTAGATACATTGTCTTCACTTTTTACACAAGTCATTAGAACCAATAATACTACGAGTATTGCAAACAATGTTTAATGCAAATTCATTTACATTATATATTTCCAATTCACTCGTAGAAGAAATTACAAAAAAGGATGAGCAAATAGAAAAAATCAAATTCTATCATGAAACGAAAACATCTCACAGAAGAATTAATGAAAACGTTTCAGCTCTAAAGAAAAGATATTATTGGCCAATCATGGAAAAAGATGTCCAAGCATACGTTAAGGTATGTAAAATTTGTAACAAAACAAAGTAAGAAAGACATCCATACAAGATAGTTTTCAAACCAACAACGATTGGAACGAAACCTTTTGAACATCTTTATATGGATACATATATCATAAATAATCAGTTTCTAACAATCATTGACAGTTTCTCAAAGTTGAGTTCAGTTTACCCGATAACGACAAAAACTGCTGTGGAAATCAAAGTTTAGTTCGTTGTATAACCTTTTGAATACCACTCGATGTTTCAGGAATCCCTAATACTTTTACCTGACACTCAACGCGTTACCAGCAACACCACTCCTCCTTCGGAGTCGTGGTGTTGCTGCGTAACGCGTTTCGTGACAGGTAAAAGTATTATCCGGAAATCAAGAAACCTCTTGTGGTATTACATTCGATTATTCCACTCATGTGTTAGAAATCCCATAAGACAAGTGACGACTTTCAGAATTACAGCGAAAATTCTCTTTTCCATTTGTTTAACTAGAGAGAATTACAGCGATAATTCTCCCATGTTATTGTATACATGGTTGTCATGCTAATTTTTGATACAAACAAACGGTTCCTGATAGCAACCATTTATTTGTATTGATTGTTAAGATGTTCAAATCGTTTATTACATATTTATTTCCATATTTTTTGCATTCTCATACGTGAAATAATCCTCTAAATACTACTTGAGCTTTAAAATGAACCAGATAATTTTTCACGATTGCGTGTTTTCTCTGCAAATTTCACTCGTCCTACGGACTCGTGAAATTATAGAAAACACGCAATCGTGAAAAATTATCGGTAATTTTGAAGCTCTCGTGGTATTATCCCCGAAAATTTTGCATACAAATTGTCAAAATTAATAAGTGAAAATTTTTGGAAATATCCCGGGGAAAATTTCCAGAATTGTCATTTTTGACATTGATGCCCGCTTTTCCATTTGAAACGCATTGATGTCAGAAATCTGTCAAAGTATATATTTTTGTCATTTTTGACCAACGCAATTTAAATGGGAAAGATCAATAACAATCAGCATCAATAAAAAAATTCGACACAACGTAGTAAATAAATAATAAACTTCAAACTCGCGAAATTTCCTATCAAAATATAACACGTGCATAAAATATTTCCTAAGGGAAATTTTTAAAAATTTCCAGCTGTATGCAACATCCTCTTTTAACTTAAAAGCGCTTTTTAAAACTGATCACTTTTGAAAATGTGTATTCTAATCCATACAAATTTTTGAAGGTACCATTTTTAAAAAGCGCTTTTAAGTTAAAAGAGGCTGTTGCATACAGCTGATAGTCTTTAGCCAATTTTCTTGAACAAAACCACTCGTGCATAGCGCCAAAGAAAAAATACCTCACCTTTCGGGTTCGGAACCGAGGGTTTTTTCTTCGGCGGTATGCACTCATGATTTTGTTAAAAAATTGGCTTCAGACAAAATTTTCAAAAATTTCCGGAAATATTTTATGCAATATAGAGTGACCGCCAAAAAGTTTGCAACAAATGGGAAAATATTTTATTATTAAGATATCAAAAAGAATGTTACGTGGGATCAATTCAGCATACCTATCAACAATAAAAAGCACTGTGATAGATGTCATGTGATCACAGTTATGGCGGGAAATTTAAAAAGTTCGCCTCTAATATGTGAAAAATGGGGTTAGATGACCAGAAATCGAAAAATTGTAAAAGGAAAAGTGGTTCAGGATTCGTTTTTACGCCTATGTGTCAATTTTTGAAGAGATACAA